GAAATCAGGCCAGGGCCTCACCTAGGCTCCTCTGAGGCTCCACAGCCCCTGTCGCTCCACAGTATGCAGCAGATGACATTGCAATTGTCCACTTATGGGCTGCTGGGTCTTTGTGGAGCAGGGATTTTGTCTGACTCATTTCTGTACCCTGAGACCTGGATAGTGAGGAGGGGTTTGGCGGATGTTTGAAATATGTATTGCTGCTTAGCAAACCACTCCAAATTTAGTGTCATAAAATAACTACTTATCCTGCTCTCAGATCTTGTAGTCAGAAAATTGGACAGAGCACAGTTGGAATGGCTTATCTCTGTTCCATCATGTCCAGATCTGCAAACAGGACTGAAGCCACCTGGCAGCTTCTGCACTCATGTCTCTGGTCTTTGGGCTGGGCTCACCTAGGACTATCCCTGGAGCATCCCCCCCCCCCTCCATGGTTCTAAGAGGGAGCACCCTGAAAATGACAGAATGTTCCAAGAAAATCAGACAGAGCCTCATGGCCTCTCAGAGCTGTCCTTAGAAGCCACACAGCCCCACTCCAGCAAGCTCTATTGGTCGGAGCAGTCAGAAACTCATCCAGATCAAAGGGAGGGACTTAGATCCCAACTCTTGGAAGGAGGTACGTCAAAGACTTTGGAAGCCATGTCTTAAAATGTACAGCAAACCGTGTCAAATGATTGATGTTTGAACCCTGTATTACAAACTGCCACGTGCTTTCATGTACTCCTTCCCGTGTGATCCTCACTGAGCTCCAGGGATGAAGAAACGGAGGTGCAGAGAAGGGATGTGTCCCAGGTTGGATTGTAAGAGGCACACAGCCAGAGCTGATGCTGCAGGGCAGGGGCCACGTCGGGCGTGTGCCTACCCCAGGTGGGCCCAGTGAGTCTCACTGGCACAGGAGTACTCATGGCTGGCACTTATTACATGCCAGGCACCGTGTCAAGGATTTTACAAGTATCAATTCATGAGCTCATTGTAATATAATGAGACGGCAGTGTTATCTCCATTTCACGAAGGAGGAAGCTGAGCCACAGCGGTATGGGAGCTGACCATGTTCACAGTCCTTCACACCTTCCCTGTACTAGGACGCGCGCACGAGCCCTTTGCCATGTGATCCCTCTGCCCCATAATCCGTAGGGTCAGGAAATAGACTCTGTCCACTTACCCTGCTCTCAGATCTTGTGAAGTGGACAGAGTCTATTTCCCAACCCCAGGGATTATGGGCTGGCTGTGTGACTTATTTTGGCCAATAAGATGTGGCTGAAGTGACAGTGCATCTCTTCCCAGCCAGGGTCTCAGAAGACATCTCATATTCCCACCTAACCTTTTGTGCTCTAATGATTCACTGTGAGGAGTGCGTACCCTGGGTAGCTGCAGGCTTTTCAGCCTGGGGGTGCCAGAAAAACATATGCACAGACTGGAACCCAACCTATAGCCTGGAGCCAAGGTCAAGACTAGGGTGAGGTGAGTGTGACAATTGCCTCTGGTACAAAATTCAAGGAGATGCCAGAAAACTCAGGAGTCAAGCTAAATAATATTTTCATGTGATATTTTTTAAATAAAAAGCAATGCAAAAAATCCAGTGCTATAGACTGAATATGTCCCCCAAAATTCATATTGAAACCTAACCCCCAGGGTGATGGTGTTAGTGGGTGGAGCCTTTCGGGGGTAATTAGGTCATGAAGGTGGAACCTGCACGAATGGGATTAGTGCCCATATGATAGAGGCCCCAGGGAGCTCCTTTGTCCCTCCCACCACATGAGCACACAAAGATGGCCACGTGTGAGCCGGGAGGCTGGCCTCACCAGACACTGAATTTGCCAGGGCTTTGATCTTGGACTTTCCAGTCTCTGGAACTGCAGGTAATAAATTTCTGTTGATTAAAAGCCAGTTTATGTTGTAATATGGACATGTTGTTCCTGCCTAGCTTGTGGTAGTTTTGTTATAGCAGACTAAAGGGACTAAAACAGCCACAGTAAACAAAATATCAAAATTTAAAATAAAGACAGGATCAATATTGAAGTCAAGCCCAGCCATGTCCAGTCTAGGCTGCTCAGACTGATTCACCTGGAATCCAGTGAGTGTAAGGACTGTTTGTTGCAAGCCACTGCCTTTGGGGGTGGTTTGTTACACAGCATTATTGCCATAGTAGCTGGCCAATGCAAAAAAATTATTTGCCAACAGGACATTCAACTTGCAAATAGAACTGAGATTTAGATCCAGGCAGTCTCAGACCAGAGTCTGTGTTATTAACCATATTAACCATTAAAATACTGCACCTCTCTTGTTAAGATGCATATTAAGGAGTGTGCCCAGAATACTTAGATTGGTTCAATCCTTCACTGGGCTGTGACTCACTTTCCTGTCCAAGGTTCCATTTCCTAAATGAGGCTGGAGTCCTTCCCTGAATGCCATTCCCAGCCCCCCTTCTACCTGCAGTTGATCTTGGTCTTCTCTCCTTCAAGACAGACCCTAACAAGAGTGATCAAGGTGCCAAACCAAAGGCAAATTTTTCAGTGTACATGGCAAGAACCAGCGACTTGATTTTCTTACTTCTCACCCATGTCGGAGATGTAAAGAGTAAAAGGATTTATTGGGAAAGGATTTTTGGAGAGTGCTATGGTGGGCAGTCGGACGGTCTGCCCCTCCTCCCAAGCCTGGAGTGCTTGATGGGCATCCCTGTAAGCTGAGGGCTCTGTGGGCCACTCTTAGCCCTCTTCCTGATAGATCCAAGAGGTGACAGACAGTCTGGATTAGACGCTGAAGATCCTACTGAACTCAGACCAGCTTATACTCTCAGAGTGAACCGGGGCAGAAGATGAGCAACCTCAGGCAAGGAAGTGGCTTTCCCTCTTGAGTCTCACTTCCCTCATATGTAAAAAGGGACTCATCATCCTTCCACATGGCTTTGCCAGGGGAAGGACGCAGGGAGCAGGCCAGCACAGTGCTTGGTATACAGTAGGTGTTCGGTAAGGGTCAGCACCCTTTCCCCTGCCCCGTTCCCAGCATCGCCTTTGCTGCTGAGCCCCAGGCAGCCTCACGTCAGCTCCCACGCAGCCGAGGCGGACTGAAGCTTTTCTTCTGAGTTGGTGACAGGTTCAGACAGGCAGAACAGAGCAAGTACTTGGAGTTCTCAGGGCAGGACTCTCTGAAATCAGATTCCCAGTGCTCCCGTCCAAGGCTCAGGGACTAAGCTGGCTGTCCTGGGCTTGTCTGAATGGTCTCACAGTGAGGGGGATTTTCCTACAATCTTAATCTACCCACTGCCCCAGGGCTAAGAAGAGGCCTGTAGGGGAGATCCTCTCTGCCACAGCCCGTTGCACATTACCTCCATTCTGGGGTGAGCCTGTGGGATACAGACGGGCCAGCCCAGGGCCAGGGCCAGAGCAAACGTGTCTGTTTAATGACCATCGGAATGTTTGGATTGTGTACTAGGAATGTTAGTTCCTTCTTGCAGAGAAGCTAGGGTTGCGAGGAGCCGTCCGTGTGTTGTCAGGTCTGACTGCTCCCTTCCCTGCCTCCCATTCAGAGAGGAAGACACAGGCCTGGGAGAGATGGTGACTTACTCGCAGTCCCAGATGGAGGAAGGGGGTGGCAGAGGTGGGCTGGAGCTCTGATGCATGGCGGAAGGCCTGCTCTGGCGGGCCCAGCTGCCCCTCTGATTAGCCCTTCTCGTGGTGCAGCACCAGCCTGATGCAGAAGGGAGTATCCACTTCATGTCTCACGGTCACAAAACCCAGGGCTGGGAAAGCATCAGAGTGACTTGCCTCCCACATGAAACTTCTCTGAGCAAAGGACAGGAGGGGAGCTGGGCTTGCAGGTGGGCAGAGGAGGGAAATGAGCTCCCCTGCTCCCCCATGCCCCAGCCACGTCTGGTTTTGCCTCCACCAGAGGCAGGTTCACCTTGCTGTGTCAGTACCCACACAGAGGTCTTTCCCTCTGGACTGTGAGCCCCTCCCAGGCAGGGACCTCACCCTGCTTCTCTCCGAACCTTCCTTCAGGCCGGCAGCTACATGCTCAGTGGTGTTTGCCGGTTGATCCAAAGCACAGACAGGCTTCCATCTCCCAGAAGCAAAATCTTTTCCTGACCCACACGGATTTCAGATGGCCTCTGGTCTCGAATCCCAGGCCTGCTGCTCCACCAGCTATACCATCTTGGACAAGATGCCAAAAACAGGGCATCTTTCACTTGGAGCTGGGAAGTACGAGGGTGGCATGAGATGTGATGTGTACAACACGCAGCAGGCGTAAGGCCCCGTCCCTCCTCTTCCCTCCACCCAGGGGAGCCTCGGTCCACGGCGGCACGTTCAGGGTTGCATGGGGACAGGACCTTCTCCGTCTGCCTCCACCTGCCGTCCCCACCCACATCCTTTCTCATTTCATGGAGGGCACTGCTTGTCTAGTGCTTATTAAATACTGTCCAGGAAGTTGAACAGCATATCAACCACACACAGACATGGGCCATTTCCTCATCTCAAGGGTCAACAGTCCAAGTGAGGCAGCCCACTATTGACATTCAGGGCCAGACAATCCTTTACTGTGGGGGCCATCCTGGGCACCGCAGGGGGCTCAGCAGCAGCCCTGGCCTCTACCCACCAGATGCCAGTAGTGCCCCCCACTAAGTCTTGACAATCAAAAATGTTTCCAGGCATTGCCAAATGTCCCCAGGGGGGAAATCACTGTGTGGATTACACTGAACTTGGACACATGGGGACTCCAAAGGGCTGACAGTCCACGGGAGCCTCTCCTGTCTGACTTGACCACCCCTCCGGAGGGACACAGACACCTCAGCACACCCTCCCCAGAGGGCCCAGCGCTGAGAGAGGGGTACAACCTTCCATCTCAGGGTGCCCCCCACATAAACTTGAAGACTGACTCAGTGCTGGCACACAGGGTGAGGGCAAGAGGCAGGTGCGAGCTGGTGAGGGAGAGACCAGCCGTGGTCGGGGCGGAGGCTCGCTTCTTCTTGGAAATATCGAAGGTACACATGGTCAAGACACGCCTTAGAAACAAACCCACTTTAATTGGTAGTGTACACAGAGATCTAGGGCAGCAGGGGTGTGACCAGGTGACAGCAGGCCACACACCTGTCCTGGCCAAGGTCCCTGGTCTGCTTAGAGGGTTCAGGCCGCGGCCGGGCAGGGGCACAGATGCAGGGTCAGAGCTGCCGCCTTGAGCGGCAGTTGCCAGGGCAGGGGGTAGGGTATGCAGAGCTGGGGCTAGGGCATGTATTTGTCTGTGTGTTCACGTGCGTGGACGTGCAAATACATGGACATGATGTACACAGAGTCTATAGAACCCTCAAAGACCAGGTTAGGGAGAGGGTTGGAGAGAAGACACTTCAAATCTCTGAAGGCCCCAGGGGCTGAGGAAGCATCAGGAAAGGGGCACATCTTGGTGTGTGCTGAACGCCCAGACCTGGCCCTGCTCCTGCCATTCATAGACTTGCTCTGTGACCTGAGGCTAGTTACTTACCCTCTCTGGGCCTTAGACTCAGTAGATAATCACTAAGGGTCCTTGTAGCCCTAAACTTCAATATTTTAAAAGATATTAAGACACAAAATGTATTTGTTAAGAGCTGATCTGATCACAAGACCTTTGGTCTCCAGGTTCAACTCCCACACCTAGTTCCCAGCATAGTCCAATCCCAGGCAGGAGGGAAAGACCCACCGGGAGCTTTTCTCACCGGCCTCTCTGGGGCTCAGCTCTGGTTCCTGGCTGCTGTGCTGCGCCTCCCAAGAGCTGCTGTGCAAAAGGCAGTGGGGCAGTCGGGGGGTGAAGGGAGACAGGCTGAGGCTAGGGGGCCTGGCGCCGGGGCCGTAAAGTGCATGGCTCACACTCTGCAGTTTCCTAGCACACAGTGACCCCCGCACCCTGCAGGAGCTCAGTAAACGCTTGTGGAACAAGCATGGGAGACCTGGTTCTAGGCAGAGCTCTGCCCTGAACTAGCTGCAGGTGGCGTGGGCTGGGCGCGTCCCTCCGCTCAGAGCCGCGGCTGCCTCTGCCCTGGCCCAGCGGTCTGTGAGTGTAGCTGCAGGCAGGCCCTGGGAAGCCCGCCTGGGACCAGGGAGGTGTGTCCTCAGCAGGGGCAGTGAATCTGAACTGGGGGGATGAGTGGGGGCTCTGGCCAACGAGAGGTCATTAGGTGCTCACAGTACAATGGTTTCCATTGCTACCGCTACACACAACGCAAGAACGTCAGCACTAGCAAAGCACGCCCTGCAGCTGTGAGGGCCTGGGGGCGGAGGCTGAGGGAGGTGGTGCAGGGCCTGGACGTGGTCCAGGAGACGGGACATGCCTCCCTTCACACACACAAATGCCACCGGCTTGATGTCAGGACCAGCTGGCGGCCAGCTTTGGGGGCAGGGGTAGTCACGGCCAAGCCAGAGGGCAAGAATTTTAGGATTGGGAGGGGGCGTCTCCCAGCCACCACCTAAGCCAAGCTGGGTCTCACCCCAGCACAGTGGAGACCCTCCCATGGAGCTGGAGTTCTTTTCATCCTGGACTGTCCAGGAGGCCCTAGGGGATGTAGGGATCCCAGCCCCTCTGACATCAGCGGTTCTTGCAACCCAAGGGTAGGAAGGCTCTGGCTTGGGTCCCTGCATACTTCCTTCATCTCCCAGCCTTGTCTCTGGCCCCGCACAGAGGAGCTAAAACGAGGGGGGAACCTCGGAGAAGAGGAATCAGAGGGAAGCGGCAAGGACGCAGGAGAATGTACAGAGATTAGAGTCTGGCCTGCTCCATCCTGGCGCCAACGCTCTTTGAACTGGACCATCGCTCGGGCCTCATGGCGGGAGGAATGTGGACGGCAGGCGCAGGGCCACCTCCCATAAGGCACGGCCCAAACCCACCCGGGGTCCCTCCCGCTCACTGGATGGTACATTTGTCCCGCTCCCGGGCCTGGCCCTCCCGAAGGACCTTGGCCTTGATGTACTTGAGGTCACTGTTGACACTGGGCCGGCGGGCGAAGGGCGAGACCATGCCGTAGGCGTCCACCTCCTTGACGCGGCGCATGCAGAAGGGCCTGGGGTGGAAGGCGTCGCCGTACTGCACAGAGATCTTGCGGTGCAGCGCGGGGCTCATCTCGTGCGGCAGCTTGGCCATGCTGAAGAGCACGTAGAACATCTCGTCCACGTTGGTGTTCTTCTTGGCCGACACCTCGAAGTAGGCACAGTTCTCGTCCCCCGACACCAGCAGCTCGGCCTCGGCGGCAGGCACCTGGCGGCAGAGCTCACTGTGGTCGCTCTTGTTGCCACAGATGACCATGGGCAGCTCTGCCGCCTCCTTCGTCTTGTTCTTCAGGCAGGACTTGACCTCCAGGATCTGCTTCTGGAGGCGCTTGACCTCATCGAAGGACTCCCGGTTATCCAGGCTGAACACCAGGATGAAGACGTCACCTGGGGGAGAGAAACCCTGGGCGGTGAGCTGGCCGGTGACTCCTGACCACCCCACCCTGCCCCCCGACTTAACCCTCATGGCGACTCTGTGGAAGTTGCTATTATTCTCCCCATTTCCCAGAGCAGGAGGCTGAGGCCTAGAGGTTCACTCTCATGTTCAAGGTCATGCAGCCCATGTGTGGCACAGCCTGGCTCTAACACAGGGGAGTCGCCCTGCGTCTCCCTGCAGAGCTGCAGATGGGGCGAGTGACATGTGAGCCTGTGCGTGCTGCGTCAGGATAACAAATCCAATTCCCATGGGAGTAGGGGTCGCGCCTGTCCCATTCAGGGCACATCCCCAAGGCCTGGGATAGCACCTAAGGGACAGCAGGGTCTCAGCATGTTGGCATCAGGCAAACCTGGGTTCACATCTTGAGTCCACCACTTACTAGCCACACAGCCTCGAGTGGGTCGTGCAACGTCTCTGAACCTCAGTTTCCCCCATTCCATGCAGCCGGAATACTGCCTTGTGGGATGATTTTGTGGGTTTCAGGAGATAATGAATACACAGTGGCTCATGCTCAGTGATCTTAGGCATCAAAATGGTGAGAGAACTGGCAGGGATCACATGCTTCATGCCCAGTTTGTTCCTTGACTCCTCACAAAACCTCTGTGAGGTAGATTCCATTACCTTCAATGCTCAGAAAGGGTGAGCCACCTGCCCAAGGTCACACAGCCCATGTGTGGCTAAACCGAGATCTGGACCCCACTCTGTCCTCACCTAGCCAGTGCCTGGCCCACACAGGGCTCTCTGCTTCCTGAATAAATCACTGGTGAGTAAGGAAACGTCGGTCTCCAAAGCTCAGGCTACCCCTCCTGTGACCCGCTGCGTCACTCAGGATGGTTCTCTGAATCTGAAACAGGGGCGATGTGGAGTGGGCAGGGGTGGCAGGGATGAGGGGAGAGGGCCGGCGCCTCCACTGCAATTTCCAGATCGTACTACAGGGATCTTAATCTCACACTCAAAAGCACCTCCGCACTTCGCCTAAAACTCTTAAGAGCCTGGGCGGAAATGCCAAGATCCCTGATTTACAGACGAGGAAACCAAGGCTCAGATATGCCAGTGAGTGGCCAGAGTTCTCCAGCAGAGATCAAGCAATTCTAGCTTCTGGCTGAACTGCTGCCTCCTTCCTCTGGACCCCGAGAGCATGCCCTTGTCCCTGCGAAATAGCACATGCCACCTTCAGAACCACGCTCTGGCCAGTGGTGTGCTCTGAACGGCGAGCTCTGGAGCAGAGGGAGACTGTCACCCACATCCTTGTCTCCCAGTGCCCAGCGTACAGCGGGTATCCACAAAGCTGGCTGAAAGGATGGGATGGGGTGGAATGAATGAAGGATGTTTAGAAAGACACTTGCGAGGCAGTGCCAGCCTGGCAGCCGTTTCTGCTTGGGCTGCCAAACCGCTCCCAGTCCCATTAGGCTAATCCTGGGCCCCTGAGGACTCAGCAGCCTTGACATATTATCAAATGCCAGACTGCGAAGCCAAGCTTCGGAGAGGGCCTGGTTGGCAGCGGAAGGAGAGCTGGTGGCAGAATGTCTTCCAGAATGTCCTGCACACCATCTCCAGGCTGGAAAATAGTGAGTGAAGAAGGCAAGCAGCAGGCAGATGTGCTTAGAATGATAAGTGTGCATTCAAAAGGGACAGGCAAAAATACCCTCTATTACAAAGACAACACAAATATGAATGTCAAGGGCTTATGGGGGGGTGGGAAGAGTCCACACCAGGCTGATGGGGTGGCCACCTCTGGGGAGGGGGCTGGAACCTGGGCTTGGGGGAATGGAATCAAGGAATTTATTAGCTTTATCTACATATTTACAGGAAGTGTACATATGTATTATTTGTGTAATTAAAAATTAATTTTGGAAGGATGCATGTGGTCCCTCTCCACATTTCCCCTCTCCCTCCCTCTGATGTTGGCCTTGTTTATATCAGTGGGTGCCCAGTCCCCTCCCCAAGGCAGGAAGGGCTGACCTCCCCTAGATACCCTCCATGTTCCAGAAGCATGCCCACACTGTGGGGGAAGCAAGCTTAGGCCCATCGTGCAGCTGGGGAAACAGACTCAAACTTCTGGCCACACATCCGAGCTCCAAGCTACTACGTGGTGGTACCAGGACTGGAACCTAGGTCAACACAGGGCTCAGTCTATCTACACACTCCCTCTCCAGCGTTGGAAGAGGGATGCAAATGTTACCTGGGTCAAAGGGTTGGCAAGGACAGAGGAAGCCATCTGCCCAGCACACGCAAGGAGGGTCGTGGCCAGGGTGGGAGGGGTGGGCGTGGGCATGGCATGGACTTCTTGTTGCAGAAGTATCTTGATCTGGGGTTTTTTAGTGATCGCAGGAGGGTTACTTGCTCATTTCTTCCCTCCACTGCTGCCTCGCCATGGGAGGGGCATGGCTTAGGAAATGACAGCATAGCCCATAGCAGGCACACTATAAATGCTGGTTTAATTTAGGATCAATTTTTACTGAGCACTTACTATCTGTTCACCTAGCATTTTTCCTATATTAACTCATTTAATTCTCAGAATGACATTGGAATGGGTGCTAATATGATGCCAACATGCAGATGAGAAAACTGAGGCACAAAGAAATTAAGTCACTTGCCTAGTGGTACAAAACCAGGAAGCAGTGGAACCAGGATTCAGACCCGGTTTCTGGGCCTGCCCTCTTAGCTACCACAGGGAACTGCTCAAGTCATGGAAATGACAGCCTTGCCCCCATCTCCACCTGCCCCCTCAATCTCCAACAATCCCTCACCCTCCCCACCACTCCTGGCAGGGCCACAGGCTACAGGAGAGCTTAGTGGCAAAGCATGAGAGCCAGAGTGCCACTGACCAGCTGTGCTACCACCTGGAGTAACCTAACCTCTCTGGGCCTCAGTTTCCCTACTTGTAAAGTGGTAGGTTGGTTGTGAGGATGAAATAAATACATGCCAAGCTCTAAGAATGGGCCGGGGCACATAACCCTTGATAACTGTTCGCTCTCACTATTACTGGGATTACTACTGAGCCCCTAGCATGGCAGGGCTCCTGCCTGCCCATTGCCTGGCCATTGCCCGCGTCCTGCCCTTACCAATCTGAGAGGTGGCAAAGGACTATGGTGTCAGGAGACCCGAGCCCAGCAGACTGACCATGGGCCTCAGAGTTCCGCTGGGTCACCTCCTGCAGGAGGAACGTAGCAGCCCCCCCCATTCCCTGGAATCTCCCCTGTGCAAGTCTGGATCAGTTCCTGATCTGGAAGGCAGCACCGGCTGTCATGAGTAATCGATTCAGAGTCAGGCAGAATGGAATTTGGGTGCCACCACTTGCTCAGATGAGCAGCAATGCCTCTCTGACCGTCATGGTGTGAGGGAGCTGCAGGCTTCATCTCAGACAGTGCATATGCAAGTGCTCTGCAAACTGTAAAGTGGGGAGCACACACGCCCACATACTCGGCACCCATGCCCACCCAGGACCGACCTGTGAGGATGGAGAGCCTGCGCATGGCGGGGAAGGGGTGGTTGCCAGACGTGTCCAGGATGTCCAGCTGGTACATGTCGCCGCGGATGTTGTAGACCTTCCGGTGGAAGTCCTCGATGGTGGGCGTGTACTGGTCCTCGAAGCGGCCGTTGAGGAAGCGAGAGACGATGGAGCTCTTGCCCACCCGCGACGCACCCAGCACCACCATGCGGTACGAGTTCTTGGCGGGCACGCTGAGCGTGCAGTTCCCGCTGGACAAGGTCTTCATCATGGCTCGGGGCTGCGGCAGAGAGCAGGGAGCAGGCGTCAGGACCGGCCCTGGCCTCCTCCACGTGGTTGCTGTCTAGGTCTGTTTTCTGTCTGTAATATGGGACGTTGGCCCAGGGTCTCTCTCAGGGGCTTTGGAGTGTGCCTGCTCCCCCTTGTCACTCTCCTTCATTTAACCACTCGTTTGCCCCCATTTATTCCAGCACAGGACTACTGGGAGTGAATCCTCACTTACCACCACCCTCTTGGGCAAGTAGCTTAACTTCCCTGGGAGTCACTTTTCTTATCTATAAAATGGACTCAACTCCTAGGGCTGTTGTAAAGGGCTCCGCGCATGGCGAGATCTCCAAAGTGTCAACTCTTGTTAGAATCTATTTTCTCTCTGGTCCATCCATCCCTGGATTTCCAGGACCCTGCGATTCCAGCATGTAACACAGGGGAGGCGCTAGAGAGCATTTTTAAGCACGGTGACAAGCCTTTCAGCCACACAGGATGAAAGGAAAAGCCACATCCAGACCACATCCTCCACACCCAGGGATGTCCCCCCAGCCCTGGGGTGTTTGCCCACTTGCAGGAGACCCTGAGACCTGGACTAGGGGGTGTGGGTCAGGGAAATGACCCATAGACAACTCAAGTCCCTCAAAGCTCCAAGGGTTTGTGGTTGGGATGCATACCCAAATCTTTCCTCAGGAGCCTCCTGGACTTGTGCGAGGCTGAAACGGATGCAAGCTCCAAACCCCAGGTAGAGAGAAAGCTCCAGGGGCTCCATCAGGACCCCCTCGAGGCTGTTTGCAGCCCAGTCACCCTCCTTTCCTTCTCGGCATCCCCCAGAGCCCAGCCACTCTAGCTAGTGTCAGCTCTCCTGAGATCTGCCTTCACTCCTTAGCTCTCGCTAATCCCTCCCACAAAACGTCCTTTTCCCTTGATGTTTCAGGGTCTGGCTCAAATTCCATGTCCTCTCTGAAGGCTTCTCTGACTCCCACCACCCCTCCCCTTTCTATGGAAGAAGAACTACACATGGGTACAAGCCTGCTGAAGAACTGACCCCTTCTGCCCTCCAAGGGCAGCCACACATGGTTGTGCAGGTTGGGCACTGTGCAAGGCACCCAGCTGGTGGGAAAGTGGGGGCTCTCTTTGCAGAGACCATCTGCTCAGAAAGACACTTTTTTCCAATTTGCACAAAGGGCTGGATATGCTAACTATGTGGGGTCCTCACCCTTGGATGCCCTGAGTCAGCAGCCTGGAGTGTTCATGCATTTACCCCAGGTTCTCTCCACCATCATAACACGTGCCATGATGCTGAGGCACTCGGGGTGGAGATAACCCCTGTACACAAGTCTTCTGGCACATGTCCTGTTCAGGGCACTCAGGCACCTGCGACTGCTCACCCTGCTGCTGTGCAGTAAAATGGCTCTCAAAAATCCCTTTTTAAAAAGCTCTTACTGATAACGTTTGTCAATTTTTGTGGTGTACTTACTCCCACGATGGCCAATTCCAAGCTACAAGGCAATCTCAGTGGACGAATTGCTAAAGGACACCCCGGGAGCCCACTCAGCACAGCGCTAACCCTAGGCCTGGAGCCATGACAACAGACCATTAACCAAGCCCAAGCCATGTGCCAAGCACTGTGCTAAGTATGGAACTATAATAACAGCTGACATTTATTCTGCAGTTAATATATGCCAGAGTGTCACAAGTGCTGAATATGTAATAACCTGCTGCATCCTTTAGTAACCCCAGAAGGTAGGTGGAGTTACCCCAATTTACAGATGAGAAAATTGAAGCACAGAGTTTAATAACTTGCTCATGGTTACAGAGTCAGGAACCAGCAAAGGAGGGATTTGATGCCAGGCAGTCTGCCAATGCTGTGGAGTCCCCTCACCATCTCCCTGTGAGATACATATTATCCTCCACTTCACAGATAAGGACCCTGATAGTTAAAAGTCCACATGAATGGCCCTAGTTAATAAGGGAGCTAGGATAGTGACTACAAGTTTAAGACCCCCCCTCTGCTCCCCACTTAATTCATGTCTGAAGCCATCTTTCAGCTTATCCTACAAGATTTCAGTGCCATATACACAGCAGGTGCTCAATAAATGATCCACGAGTGAATGATGCAACTGGCTCTACCTTTGGAGCCTCCCTCTGGGGCCTTCCTCCTCCACCCCACTCTCCCTGACTGGCCCAGGGGCTGTGCTGAGGAATGTCTTGGAGCCCTGGTGCACCTGTGAGTGGGCAGTGAGGACAGGCAGTGGGCCCGGCCACAAGACCAACAGGAGTGAACCCTTCTCAGTCTCCTTTGGGGCTGGCGAGCCAGGCTGGGCCTTCAGCCAAGATGGGGGAAGAGGCCCCACACCATGACAGCCCCCTTCCCAGGCCGCTCTGCAGGCAGCTTGGCTGCTGGCGGTCACCTCTGTCTAGACAGAGGGAAGGAGGACAGCAGCCCCTCAGGACAGTGCTGTCTCCATCACCTCCTGCCCCAGCCTCTAGCCCAGAGCTCCTGGTATGGGTGGACTATGTCAGTGACTGAATGGGCCTGCGGAGGTCAGAGAGAGGAGGCAGGGGTCAGAGAGAAGAGACGGGGAGGCAGAAAGAGGCAAAGGAGAGGAAAATACGTGCCTTCTCTGAGAGAAGACAGTCTTCACATGGCCCCAGCCACATGGGCTCTGAAAGGCATCCAGACACCTGGACGCCAGGTGACAGCGCCTCTGTGGGCTCCCTCTCCTCCCTCAGAGGAGGCACAGCTGTGGGCACAGCCTTCCTCCCCCTCTGCTCCATCCTCAGCCAGGCCGGCCCTACACAGGGAGGAGCAGACAGGGGCCAAAAGGCCCTTTGAGAATTTAGAGCCCAAACCCTGGAGGCTCTGAGAGTGGTTAATGGGGACCACTAGCAGCACGGGCACCCACATGCCCTGAGAACCCCACCCCAGGCCCATTCTAAGGGCCCCTGGAAGGTGGAAAGCCCTGGAGCAGAGTTGGGGGGAGCCATCCTGGGGGGCTAGCTGGTGGGCTTCCATCATGCTGGGCATTTTGTGTGCCTTATTCCAATGACTTTACAACATGTCATGAAACGGGGACCACCATCAACCCACTCACCAAGAGGGACACCAGAGGTCAGAGAGGCTGAGTCACTTGCCCCAGTTCACACAGATGACTGGCTGGGCCAAGATTAGAATCAAGCTGTTTGGCTCTAATGCTTGGGCTCTTACCTCTATAAAAACCCACCCTCTGGCCAAAATTGAAGTCTTTTTCAAAACAGTGTCTGACTCAGTGAGGCCTCAGCTGGCATCAGGTGGAGGACTGACCTCTGAAGCCTAGGGTCTTATTCCCTCTTCCAACAGGCAGCTGGGGGGTGGGCATTCTGCCCAGGATTCTCCCCCAAACCCTGCCCAGCAGCTCCCAGGAAATGTATCTGCAGGTTCACCCCCTTCTCACCCTAGGCCCTCCCCGAAGGCCTGCCTGAGATGGAGGAGTCGGGTGGGCAGGAGAGCAGGGCAGGCGTCTGGACATTGCCCCCTCACCGCAAGTACCCCAGAGCGTGTTTCAGTGCACTGACCCTCCCTCCTCCCTCCCCCACACCTCAGCCTCCTCCATAGGGCTCATCCCAGCCTCTCGGGAGGCACACACATTCACTGGCCTCCCATCCCCACACTGGGGAGAGTCCTGGGGGCTTTGCGAGACAACCTCACCACCCTTGGCAGGTCAGGATGGCAGAAAGCAGCAGGCACCAGCTTCCAGAAAACCAGCTCTGCCACTTACCAGCTCAGCAACCTTCAGCAAATGGCTTGGCCTGGTGGGACTGATCATCTATCAAATAGGCATGGTAGGAACAAGCCCATGGTATGGCCCTGAACACTCGCTGAGAAGCCAAGAGGCTGACACAGCTCCTGGCACACAGTGAGCGGTTCCTTTCTTCGTGGCACTTCCACTGGCAGTCAAGGAGCAGCCTGACACAGCCAGGTGGGGCAGGACAGAAGTGCAGGCAGGTCTAGGGGGACCCTGCCTTGTCTCTCAATGCTAGAGGAAGCCTGAATCATAGGCTCCTGAGCCAGCTTCCCTTCCCCGGCGCAGCCTCCTACCTCCCATGGGTCCTGAATTACATCCTTCATCACCACCCCAGGGTCTGGGGACCAAAGGAGGAGACGTCAGAGAGAGGGCCTCGGAGGTGTGCAGGCCCCCTGCCCAGCTGAGTACAGAAAGCCTTTCCTGGGAAGAGAACTGCACAGGATACCCGTTCCTGCACCAACCCAGAAAAAAGCTCAAGAACTCTGGACCAGGAAGGCACTCCTCAATCTCCCCTCCTCAAAGGAGTTCTTCCCCAGGGCTCAGAGAGCCGCCAACTTGTCCCATCCCAGCCCTCCACCCGCTCCAGGAACTCAGGTCGCAGCTGGCTCCCAAGACAGGGGTGTTTGGGGAAGGCAAGTGCCTCTGTCCGCCCCGAGCCTCGGTTTCCTCCTGTTCCAACAGGCTGTTACTCCAGATCTCCTAAATGGAAAGCGCCCAGCACAAAATCTCGCATAGTTGGAGCTCGGTAAGTCTCACTTAGGGTAAGTAAAGAGCCTAGCCCCAGCCAAACACACTGTAGGTACTCAACTAAGATGAGTAGTTGCCTTGTGATCCTGGCACATAGTAGGTGTCCAATCATTTAACTTTTCCTAGTCGTGTAAACGTTCACCTAGTCTTCCTCTGACAAGCCTCGAATCTTTCTCCCCCACTTCACCCAGCTCCCCAGTTCTGTGGGGGTGTCTCTCTCCTACCTGGGAATGGCGGGCCGAGCCTCTGGCACGGCTCGGTGGACTGCCTGGAAGAGGCTGGAGGTGCGGGGAACCGCTTGCCTCTCCGGCCGCCCAGCCTTCCAGCGTCTGCGGCGGCTCCCGGGTCACTGCGCCGGGCTTCTCTGCGAGACTCGGGGCGCAGGGTTGGGCAAGGCCGGGAGAGGGGGGACGGGCAGCCGGCGCCCCATGGGTGGGATCCGAGGGCTCCGCGGGACCCGGGGGCCGGGCGGGCTCCGGCT